CATTTTTTGACAATATTCGTTTTCCTTTTTCAGGTCCGTTCCAGATGGCAAGACGTAAGTTTGCTCTCTTGGTGAATTTCTGTAAGGGTATGTCTAAATTACATGGCTCCGTCGACGGAGCCATGTAGATTTGTTGTTTTGGCAAAGGTAAATGAAGCCGCGATCATTTAAATCGCGGCTTCATTTACCTTTGCCAAAACAACAAATCTACATGGCTCCGTCGACGGAGCCATGTAGATTTGTTGTTTTGGCAAAGGTAAATGAAGCCGCGATCATTTAAATCGCGGCTTCATTTACCTTTGCCAAAACAACAAATCTACATGGCTCCGTCGACGGAGCCATGTAGATTTGTTGTTTTGGCAAAGGTAAATGAAGCCGCGATCATTTAAATCACGGCTTCATTTCCCTTTGCCTATCTGTCTAATCTACATGGCTCCATCGATGGAGCCATGTAGTCTTGACACAGCCTAAGAGCTCTATGATGAAAGATCATCTCAATTGTCCATGAAGGGGAGTTGAGGAGGTTTGCTCTCCTGGGACAGGACAGATTGAGCATTGTTTCTTTGGGGACCATTGAGATGATAGGTTTACACAACAGGGGACTCAAATATAAATTATTCTTTTTTACCAAAGCTACTTTAAAAACTGCAGAACTATACACTTTTGTAGGTTTTTTTATCATGGAAAGGAGAATGAATTGAAAGTGAGATTAAACAGGCAAAATTTCACATCCGACTCCCAATGTACAATTTTAAATGCAATTTCATTTCACACAGTTTATTTTTCAAGTGAAGCAGAATGTATTTTTTTTCTGTTCATATGCTATACCTAGTAGTTTAAAGATCTGTTAAAAAATTACATTCTGTGTCTCATTTTGAGAAAAACTCTGAATGGATTATTTCAATATTTCTTTTTTAGCAACTGCCCCTCAGATAATCGGTAAGTCAAAGTTTCTTCTTCAGCACTTCCATTCAAGTCATCTGTGAGAAAATTTTTCCTTCTATTTTCTGAATAATGCCATTTGTCCTGCCATCACAGTTGTATGCCAAGGTCCTCACTGTACACAATCTTAATTCATCATATGAGAGGCTTTCAGTAAGGGTTCTTTTATTCCATGGCATTTAAAAAAAAAATTTACACATTTGTTGTTCCAATCTCAGTAGGAAAAAGATCTTTTCAAAATATATTTGACAGTTTTGAGAAACTTCAGAGATGATTCAAATCCAATGGAAAGTCTCCCAGGGCCTAATTTGTTCACTGAATGTACGTAATTCTTGCTATTCCAGAAGTTAAATATTGACATATTCAATGGTATTGAGAATCTAATTTTCAATAATTAAAAGTGAAATCTTGATTTTTTTTCCAGAACAACTCCAGTGTGAAAAAGGTAATTTTTCTCCAGTTTCTAAATCAGAATTGTTAACTGAACTCTACATCCTAAGCATCTAGGTCTAAATAAAAGCACAACTTTTTCTTTAATAATTGATCTTAGTTGGGTAGCCATGTTAGTCTCTAACTTTAAAAACAAGTGGTCCTGTAGCGTCTCAGAGACTAACCAAAATATAAGGTGCCACAGGAAGACTTGTTTTTGATAACTAACTTATTCTATCAATTTATCTTCAAATATCTAGAAAACTTATGCTTTAAAGTATCTAAGCACCTTCAAAATCATCACTTGAATTGTACAAAGCTTATTTGGTCCATATTTATCCTTCCATCTCTTCAGGGAGTTGGCATGTCCCTTCTTCCTACTCTTTACCACATCGTACTACATGACACTTAGTTTGAAAATATGTATCGACTAGGGGGCTACACCCTGCTCTCTATGCTCACCAATTCCCCTCTCCCTGGACGCTTTCATGGCCAAACAGCCTCATGACATCATTCTGTCATATAACAGGAAAAAAATTAAATATGTTTATATCTATATGTCATGTTAATTTTATGTTGATTTAAATTTTTTAAACTATAGATTAAAAGACGGCTAACTGGTTGGTCTAAAAATGCAATAATAAACCAACAATCCTCACTAAGTGGGTATGTTTGTCATATGGTCCAACATGAATCAGTTCTTGGCATTATTCTATTTAACATTTTCATCAGTGACATGAAAGTTTGGAACATGTTCCCATGCACTAAGAAGCTTCACCTTCACTATTTATATGTGTATACTGAAACTGGAGGTATAATTTACAACATGGACAGACCTAACCATGCTCGTTCTGATCAAATTAGCATGCCAAAATTATCAATGTAACCATATCTGCATTAGGTTGTGAGAATTCCTTTTGTACCTAGCTAGTTTTTCAGATGGTATATGCCACTTACACGGTTGTCACTGCCTCAGTTACACTTTTTATCCAAGCTGAGAATTACACCTCCAGCATAGACATACCTTGAAAGCGTGTAGAGGTTCTAAGTCACATGAGTGGTTAGTCCACTGTTGGGCTTTGGTCCTGGTTCATTGGTCTAACCACATTCTTATTAATTAGAATGAAATATAGAGCTCCTATAAACAAGTGAAAAGAGGATGATGGTAGTTGACTTATGTGACTGGGTGTAAATATAATTCCTTATGCTCTAATGCCCTGCACACGTGCACCCTTTGCTACAATCTTGATAAAAGAGGCTATGTGTCTAAACTCAGCCTGCATGGAAAACATTAGTTACCTGTATTGAGAAAAAAATTACTTTATTCAAATATATGTTATTCCTTTGCAGAGGAGCTGCTAGTGGAAAGAGGTAAGCTTATATTGATTGTTATAGCTTTATATTTAAGCAGTAGTGGGATGGAGAATCTGATGCAAATTCATGTACTGTGTAGTTGTCTTAGGATATGTCAAGACTACGTTGCTATTTCGGGATACCTGAAGTATCCCGAAATAGCAACTCCACATTCTTAAAAGAACCTGTCACAAGAAGGCGCTGTTATATGGTTAATCAGGCCACACACCAGGTCTTTAATCAGTGTCACAGAACAAAGATCCACAGTAGCTCAAATATACCTTTAAGGGTATTATTGCCAGCAATTGTTCAGGAGCAGTTTTAAAAGTGATATACATATCTAGTAATTAGCAATTTTAAAGACAGGTTAAAAGCAATTTAATTTAAGTTGAACAATTAACAATCTAATTCTTAACCCAATTTAGCACACACCTTCAAAGACACACTCATACATACCACTCACCCTCTGGAGCTGGCCAAACCCCAGGTAAAATTGATTAATTTGGTTAAGGCAGAAGTCCGACGTGCACATCACTCCAATATGTCCAATCAATGGACTCCAACCTGTGGGGCAAAATGGTGTGTTATATATTCCTTTGGCAGGAGCCAGTCGGGTGGCACAATGTTCACTGTTTGCACCCAGCCTGGGGGGGGGGGGGGGTGATGTTGCACCCTCCTTCTTGCTAGCTTGACTACAACCAATCTTGAGGCAGCCTGCTCCAACCACCTAATTCTGCTTGCCTCACCATGAGTGATAAACCATAAAATGTCCTTGACTAGGTCTCTCCCTTGTTACACCTTATCTGGGAATGTTTCCTCTTTCTGTACCATTTTGTCTCTTCAACACACACAATTTTTTCTTTCACACCCTGTAATCCTCATTTATTATTGAGACTAGATTTGAAACTCACCCTGCATTTGGTGAGAGAACTTGCATGTTCAGCAACAACCTAACATTGCAAAAGAATTAGGGTAATTTTTCTAGCAGTAAAACAGTGAAATTGTGATGGCAGGCTGAGAGCAGGAAGGGGAATTGGAATGGTGGTTGAGCATACAAATAGCATAAATCATGGACTAAAGTATTTATCTAAGTAAACATATGTCTGTATGAATACGGCTAATCCTTATGAGTGCTCCTGAATGATGATAGTAAACCAAGTAGTCAACTGCAATATTAACCATTTGATCAAAAGAAATATAAATGTTGAGCAAATACATTTTTCCCAAAAATTTTAAAATGAAATTGTTGAATTTGCATTAATTCCTCAGATTTTTTTATCTTTGAGTTTGCATTTTTATCAGAAATGAATAACCCATACTTGGAAATTTTGCTTGCAAGGGAGAATACAGAAAGAGGCATCAAAAGCAGTAAAAGATGGAGTGACAGGAAAATTACCATATCAACCTTAAATATTAAATACAAACTTTAGATAAAATAGCCTTTCCTTTTTACATGGAAGAAAATCTACATATTTGATACTTCATCATTTATTACTTTTTCAATGACTCTCAAGGTGGAAATCCAGTCATTCTGCCTGCTTTCTTTTTCCTTTCCTTCAAAGTCATCCTGGAGCTCAAGTATAGACATACCAATAATGATTTATTTGCAAGGGAAAGGGGGAGTATTTATTCAACTGCTTAGAGACAAGGATCTTCTCATGATGTTTTTGAAAGATTTTCACATGTGAATCACTTATACTGGGCAAAGTTTGAGTGCATGTCTCCCACATTAATCAGTGGGGATTGGGTGTTCATCATGGAGGGAAGAGCAAAGAGGTGTGGTAGCTGTGTTGAAGGCTGGAATTGTGTCAACTTGGCCATATGATAATATTCAAAATGAAAATAGTTGTTTACTTTGAACCTGTTCTTGCTCTCATGGAAATGAATGGATGAAATCCCACTGATGTTAGTGGGGCAGCACTGGATCCCTAATATAAAAATAAAGTGTATTTATTGACAATATTGTGTATTTTTTTTCAGAACGGCTTCAGGTAGAAAACAGTAAGTTTGCTCTGATTTCTATGGTTTGGAAGAAGTTAGTCAAGTATTGCCTTCTTGGTGAATGTATTTTACAGAGTGATAAGGAGAGATTCGATCATTTGTGCACAGTGGTACAAGAGGGCGGGTTCAGTATGGTATGTCATGCCAGCAAGTTAGGTTTAGCTCCCAGGGCATACTGAAAAGACTGCCTGCTGGCTGACCCCAGCCTCTTCCCTGATCTGCCTCACATCTATGTATAGGGCTGGGTCCCGAGGGATGGGGTTTGGAGCACTATGGCAGCCAGAGGTGTTGCCGGCAGTCTGTACCTTTCCCCACTGTCCCTTCCTATGGGGAAAGGAGCAGAATTGCCACCCCTGCCCTCCATCCCTGAGCCCTGTACACAAACATTGAAGCTCTGTGGGAGAACCGAGGAGGAGGGGAGGGATGGGACTGGAAGTTCTACTCCTTTTCCTGCTGGGAGGAGCAATGGGGAAAGAAGTACAATGTTAGTAGCTCCTCCGTCTACTGCAGTGGCCCCAACCTCTCCTTCCCCCTGGCAATGTGGGATAGGGAAGGGAGAGGAGGAGAAGAGCCTGAGGGTTCTGGGCTAGGGCAGAGTAATGTGGGTGTTCACATGGAGAGGTCATGTGCTTCCCCTCCCACACCATTAAGAACTTTTGTTTACTTGCACTATATTTTGTACATAAAGGGGACTCCAGGAAGTTCCCTCACCTGGAACTGGACAGATTGAGTATTACTTAATGGGGAAGCATTAAGTAAGACTGATTTATGCAATAGGTCAAATATGTAGTTACTTCAAATGTGTGTAATTCCTTTGTAACCAAGCTGTGGAAGGCACTTGAAAAGTATACAATGATTTACTGTGATCTTCTTATCAGGCAGAGGAGAGAGACAGCTTACGATGAGACTGCATAGAACTGAGATTGAGCAGAGTAATCTTCATATCTGAATCTCATTGTAGAATGTTAAAAGCAATTGGGTTTAAACATAGGTTTGTTTTTCTGACAAGCAATAAAGCAGAAAGTTTTCTATTGCTATAATGTGTCTGATAAATTTGATAAATTATTAAATTAAAAATAAAACAAGCTATGTTCCCCACCTCATTTATATAAAAACTAAACGTGTTATCTCAACTTTTCTTTTTTAGCAATTCCCCAGGAGGTAATCTGTAAATCAAAATCGCCTTTTTAGCACTTGCATTTAAATTAATTACCCTCTGTGAGAGAGCTTTTCCTTCAATTTCCTGATTAAGTCCCTTTTTCCTGACAGTCCCAAAAGTATGCCATTAGCTTGGCTGTAATAAATCTTTATACAGTATCCATGATGAGTTTGAGTAAACTTGCTCATATTCCTTGACATTTAAAAAGAATTGTGCTGATTCATTCTTTCAGTCTTAATAGCAAAAATGGTCTTTCCAAAATATATAGGACCATTTTGAGAAACTTTGTTGCTGATTCAAAGCCTATCTAATCCAATGGAATTTTTTACAAATCCCATTTGCTCATTCAAAATAGATAATCATACAGTTCCAGAACTTTAGAATTGATATGATCAATAGTAATGACAACACAATTTTCCATTTAAAAATGCCAATCTTGATCAAATTTATTCTTTTACAGATCAAGTCCAGCATGAAAACAGTAAGTTAGCTCAGATTTCTAAGCAGGTGTAATACGATTATTTTTTAAACTCAACTACGCATCTTATATTTCTAAATCTAAACAGAAGTCCATAAATTAACCATTGTGTAGCACAGTTTTAAAGAAAATATTTTATTCAGAATGTGTCCAGTTCATCAAACTCTGAGTTGAATGAGGTGTCCTTATCCACATAAATAGACTATTTTAAGATAAGTGGCCAAATATGGAATTTTCTAAATTATCGGTCACACAAAACATCCAATCATATCCACACTTCTATGTGGGTAACACTTGAACAAATATTTTGAGGGGAACACACAAATCTGTTTTCCTACCTAATGCACTTTAATTAGGGCTGCAAATATCTTAATTTGTAACTTATATTTTTCTGTAACTACTTGCAACATTACTTGACTGGTGCCGAGATCCTGAATCACATTGAAGTCTGGAGGGAGGAGACAAACATCCAGGATCTCTGCACCAAGAGGTGCAATGCCAAAATCTACAGCCCAATGGCCGCCAGCCTGGCTCTGAAGAGACACAGTCGGACCCTGGACCAGATGTAGATGAAGACAAAAGAGCTCCAGCAGGCCTATATCAAGGCCAGGGAGCAAAGTTCCAGCTCTGGAGTGGCACTACATACCTGCTGCTTTTATGAGCAGTTGGATGCCATTCTGGGAATTGGACCAGTCTCCCCTGTATCATCGTGAGGACATCAGCCTCCACGAGAGCAGGGTTGTGGAGGAGAACAACGAGGAGGAGCAGGTTAGACTGGACACCGTGTCCATCAACCAGGAGGTCATCCTTAGCCTGGAGCCAGTCTCCTGGAGCCAGTCTCCCCTCTCCTTTCCCCCTGAATGTCTCTCAGGGCTTGGACAAACCTGGGATAGACATTTCAGGTGAGTTTTATAACTTACCATATACACACGTGGGGCACAGGATAGGCAGAAGGCGGCAAGGGGCTTGCACACTCCTGGCCCAGCCTTCTCAGCCTGGGCTTGCACAACATCCTGGGCATGTGGGTGCACATGGAACACCAGTCTGGAGCATTCAACCCCATGACTCTCTCGGACAGAAATCCATTGCTCATTCTCACAAGGTTTCTGGACAGGCCTGTCTTATTCTGGACATTGGTGGGACACCTTCCCACTACAAGCCACCACTAAGGAGGCTGGGGTCAGGGGAACACACAGCAGTGCTGCACACAGCACTGGGGAAGCATCCACTCCTGGTCAAGCACAGCCATGCAGAGGAGACCAATCCCCCTGCATGAGAACCTGTCGGGTGGAAGAAGTGGAGGGGACCCCAGTACCACCCTCTCTGGAAAGTGACCTCTGCCACTCACACACACTGCCAGTTTAGAAATTGACTAGCGTCTACACGCAGCAGTGAAACGGGATTCCGAATTAAAGCCCTAACTCGAATTAGCTGTTAAACCTCTTTCCAGGAGGAATAATAACAGCTAATTTGAGTTAGGGCTTTAAATCGGAATCCATTTGTAGACACGGGCAGTTACTTCGGGCTAATCAATTTCTAAAATGGCGACCACCCGGGAACATGCTAATGAAGCATGGGATATTTAAATCCTATGCTTCATTAGCAATTTCAGTCACCCTCATTAGCCTCCCTAGTTCGAACTAGGGGGCTAGTGTAGACATACCCTTAGGCCGTGTCCAGACTCAGGGGTTTTTTCGGGAAAAGTAGCCTTTTCCCGAAAAAAATTCCCCTGCGTCCAGACTCAAGCCGCGTTCTTTTGAAATTATTTCGAAAGAACGCGGCTTTTCTTTTGATGGTGGTAAACCTCATTTCACGAGGAAGAACGCCTTCTTTCGAAAGTTCCTCTTTCGAAAGAAGGCGTTCTTCAATGTAAAGAGGCCGTCTTCGAAAGAGAGCATCCAGGCTCGCTGGGTGCTCTCTTTCGAAAAAGCGGATTTCTCTTTCGAAAGATCCGCCTGCAGTCTAGATGCTATCTTTCGAAAGAGCCTCTTTCGAAAGATGCTTTCGAAAGAGCCTCTTTCGAAAGAAGCCTGCAGTCTAAACATAGCCTTAGTGTCAACTCAGAGATTAGGGCTAGGCTTCATGCACAGTGTCTCCAGGTATGACTGCCCTTATCACTTTTATTCACAGCTGGGCCAGCTGCAAGTGTGGTGTGTCCACCACCACCGATGCCATCAGCACAACCTTGTAGATCCACTGGTGGAGGAGATCTTGTGAGAACCTGGTGTGGGTATACCTGGACTGCCTCCATTTCCTCATCTGCAGCTTTGATGAGGAGCACCAGGAGCAGGTCACTGACCATGAGGATTGTTAGGCTTACCAGGAGCTGAGGAAGGCCATGTGGGAACAGCTGTCATGCCAGCATGAGGCCATGTGCTCCTCCATAACTTCCATCATGGAATTCATGGTCATGTGTATGGAGTGGTTCACCAGCCATCTCCCCACATTTGTCCCCCACAACTCTCTGCCTAATTACTCATCCCCAAACTCCCTGTTCAATTCCCCACACCCACTCTCCCCCAACTCCCAGCATCTGCCCATTCCTCCTGGCTTCTCTTCCGGGGCTCGCAAACATGTGGTGGTAGGAACTCCCAGGCTCCCAGGCATACTCCACTGTTGTATATCCTCCAAATAAAAGAAAAAAGACTGTTTTTCCCCCAAACAAAAAAGGCTTCTTTATTTGCTCTACAGGGGAGTAGGAGAAGATTGGAAGGGAGAGCAGGGAAAGGGAGGTGTGGAGTAGGGAAGGCACACAGAGGCAATGCAGGGGCCCCTTCTGGGCCCATGGTCTCCCTCACAGCCTCCTGGATGAGTACAGCTCTCAGTGTGCATGCTGAATGGCAACAGTGTCCAGCTGCTTGAAATCCCTGGCCAGTTGCTTAGCCTCTACCTCCCCATCCTCCCTTCCCACACAAACACACCACACCCTGGCAAGAAAGTCTCCCCTTTGCACTCACAGATATAGTGGAGCACACAGCAGGCTCACACCACATAGGGAATGTTCCAGTCAGGTGAGTGAGGAGACTCCTGAACCTCCCTTTTAGATGGCTGAAGGCACACTTGACCCCCAAGCAGTATCTGCTGAGCTTTGGAAGTTCTCTTTGATGGGGTCCAGGCTGCCTGTGTAGGGCTTCATCAGCCAGGGGAGTAGGGGTAGACTTGATTGCCAAAGACACACATGGGCATGTCCACCATCCTGTCTCTCGTGGGTTAGTCAGGGGAAAAACTTCCAGAATGCATCCTGTGGAACAGGCTTGAGTTGTGGAATACACAGGCATTGTGCACCTTCCTCGAACACCCGACATAAATGGCAGTGAACCATACCATGTGGTCCACAAGAGCCTGCAGCACCATTGAAAACTACCCCCTTCCTGTTGATGTAGTTGGAGGCACAGTGGTCAGGGGGTAGAATAGGGATGTGGGTGTCATACATGGCCCCCTGCAGTGGGGGAAGTCCATGGCGGCAAAGCCAGTGATGATGGGGTCAGCAATTTCCAGGGTGATGACCATTCACAGTAAACTCATGTTGATGACCTTGACCACCTATAGAAACATAGAATCATAGTGTTGGAAGAGGCCTTAGGAGGTTACAGAGTCCAATCCCCTGCCAAAAACAGGACCAAACACAACTAAACAATTCCAGCCAGGGCTTTGTCAAGCTGTGACTTAAAAACCTCTAGGGATGGAGATTCTACTACCTTCCTAGGAAACCTATTCCAGTGTTTCACCATCCTCCTAATAAAATAGTAAAATAATCAAACCTGCATGAGCACTGCCTCAATCGTGGATTTCCCCATGCAGAACTGGTTCCCCACGGAGTGGTAGCTATCCGGGGTAGTGATCTTCCAGAGGATAATAGTGATGGTGATATGCTTCTACAGAGGAATGGTGGGTTTCAATTGGGTGTCCTGTTGCCTCAGGGCAGGGGTAAGCCACTCGCAGAGCTCCAGGAAGGTGGCTTTCCACATGCAGAAGTTCTAGAGCCACTACTGGTTGTCCCATTGCTGCAAGACGATGTGGTCCCACCAGTCAGAACTGGTCTCCCTGCATCAGAAGTGGCATTCAATGGTGTGCATGAGACAGACGGAAATTTGGGGTATTATGAGTGTTAGCACCTGGGTGAAGATGCCCCCCAGTCTGGGTTGGTCATCATGCTCCCGAATCTCCACATGGGATGAAGTATGCCATGGGGCACAGCACAAGGCCTAAGAGCCTGGCACTGCTTTGCAGCGGCTCCAGCTCCAGGTTGGAAGTGTTGTGTCTTCCTCAAGGACAACCAGAGCATTCAGCATGAGTTTAGTGTTCCAGGAGGAGGTAGGCAGTGGACAAATGGCGTGTGGGACCCAGCTGTAGAGAGGAGCCCCTTTAACTGCAAATCTCAGCTAGCTTAGCAAGCAGCTTAGCAAGCAGCTACAGAAAGTGATAGCTCTCCTGATGCCCTCGCTGGAGTGCTTCTGGGGTCTTTAACTGCAATGCAGCCTCCAATTACTGTGAACACACTACTTCAAAATAATTCAGCACTATTTTGATGATGCCTTGTAGCATGGACAAGTTATTTCAACATAGTTATTTTGGGAATTATTAAAATAATTTCCTAGTGTAGACATGCCCAAAAGCATTTGACTTGATACCACAAGGCATTTTGGATAAAATGCTAGCTCAGTATATCATTAAAATAATACAAGTCAAATGGAGTTAAAGCTTACTACCTGATAGATCTCCAAATGTAACTGCAAATACGGAATCTTCATAGTTCTTCGTGTAGTGTCCCCATAGGTGCTCCACTGTTAGTGTCCCCAAGGGTACTTCATTGTTGGTGCTGTTGGGTGGTCCTAGTGCCATATATCAGAGTTTTCCATTAGCAGTGGTTGGCTGGACTACGCATGTGAGGCACTCTTTTCAGGTCTCACGTGACCCCAAGTCACATTTGTTGACTCTTCTCATCAACAAATCTAGTCAGACAAGAAATTAACTTTTATTGTTAGATATTGTTATCACTTTAG